CACATATAGACACCGAAACATGGGATCCCAACAGGACGGTCGGAAGACCACCGTGGCCATCGACACCAGACACATCTTCGACGGCGTTCGGAACCACCTCTTGTACAGCCAGAACCAAGCGTCGCCAGGTCGAGTCTGCATCTCACGCAGCGGAGGGTATGCCCGCGCATCCCCGGACATGGCGTACAATTCCCCCGCTGGCATGTCGTTTCTTTAGGTGTGGTACGTGAGCCTTAGCTTACATACACACGTGCGTGCGGTGGCCCACATTGGTATTGCGGTATTGACTCGCGTTTCCGCTGAGGGGCATCACAGCTGTTTGAGCCCGACGGCGGACATACTTGATTCTTGAACGACAGAGGGTCCTGCGATGTCGAAACGTTCGTGATGTAGTCCAAGAGGGTTTAGTCGTATGGTAGGTCGAGGGGATTCCAGACCAAGCTTCCTAGACGTCCAAGTCGCGGTTGAACAACAACACTCGCGAGAGACAAATGGATTTGTGAGGCCATCCTAATCTCACCTCCAGTGGTGGCCGGCATGTAGTCAGTTCTACCTCCTCAGAAGGCGAGTTCAGCGTTTGCACGGGTTATCTTCGCAGCACCGGTTATTAATTACATCCCGTGGCTCAATCACGAACAGACACGACCGCACCGTCGACGATATGTGTCAAAGTCCTGGGCACTACTGAAGCCTAGGGAAGAATGAGTTGACCGGATCACCCTTGGAAGCACCACGGCCAGGTGAAGACTTCGATTTTTGGCTCCAAGACTGTGCTGCTGATAATTTGTCCTACTCGGAGCTTATGCAGCATCGACACGGCGTCAGTGGTGAGACGTACTGAAATTAGCGAGGCGCTATAATTATGGTCCAGAACTGAGTTTGGGTAAGGAAACAACAATGGTCCGTCAGCGTCGTCGCCCGGTTATACTGACACTTACACACAGACCTGAGTAACGCACGTATGACCAACGGCATCCAGTTCGTATCGCGGCAATCAGATCTAACCATCAAGTTCGACTTGGGCTTCGAGTTGCATGGAAGATGGAGACCATAGAGGCCGCAGGACATACCGGTTTCATGTGTCCTGAAGGAACGAAAGGCACCGCGGAAGTGAACACGGGCGCAAAAAATAACAGCACTTCGGCATTGGTCACCGGTGCGACGGTTTGTTCGAAGAACAGGGTCCATGGGCCTGAATTTGTATGATCGCGATAGTTCTGCGTGACTTTGGTGAGTACATGTCGATGGTCCTGACTCCTTTGGGTGCCATAGAGTCGGCGCAGATATAGAGAGCAGAGTCTTGAGTCTTGGATCTCTTCAAGACGGATTTCGATGGTGGATCTCATATGATCATGCAGGTCGTAGCCTAAAGATCGGCCAGGCAAGCAGAGACAGCGACCATCCCCACTGAGGGGAGGTGGTTCGTACCTCCATGACGGTGGACCACGCGCTCGTGAGCAAGAAAAGACTCTGACATGGATTGTAATGCCGAATACACCATACCTGTCAGGTCAGTCTGAAAGGCACATTATCGAAGATGTGCTGACACTATACCGTGGCGACCGAGTCTTATCGTGGCTTCGTCTTCCATACTAGTTATGCTTGCGCCCGGACACCGGCAAAGGAACCAATCAGAGTAATGCCCTAGAAACACAGTCGTGTTCATCATTGCCTCGGTGTGGGTAAAGCTATGCATAGGAATGCGTAGGAGACCCTCCGCATGAAGATTTTAGCCCTCGGACGCCGATGTTTTCCAGTTCGCCGAAATCAAGATGACCGGAAGGCAATAGTCCCGTTGAATACAGTATCGACGTTTCAACGTACCACACAATTGATCTTCGGACGTGATCGCAGCTGTGTGACATCTTTGGCTCCGTTCGGTTTCACGGCCACGCCGCGGCGCCCCAAAGGCCAAAGCCAAGTTCGTCGCGGCGCGGCAGTGTGGCAGGGCATTTCCGAGCGTTGGATTGGCTGAAGGGGCGTCGTCCGAACGCTGCCTTAGGGTATCGATGAGTACGGACGTTTCGAAAAGTCCTCTGCAGTGCATCACGTGAGAGCCAAACAAACCGAAAGAGGTACTATCATTGGACGGGAGTTGCAAAAAATCCTGTAAATCGCCATACAGCGTCGGCTGTGCTCGACATTCTAATTATCGGTTTCCATAGCATCATGCATTGTCATCCTACGAACATGATTATATTTTTTCGTACTTTTACATCTAACGCTACGAGTACAGGAGAGATATCCCGGGTTGTGGACGAGAGTTGCAAAAATGTTCCTTAAACGTCCTCAGCAGGTACTTCTATGCTTATCGGGTGGGTAACTTGGACAAAAGAATAGTAGATATATTTATTCTAGACTTGAATTTGAGGTCCATGCTTTATATGCCAGACTTGTTTACATGCTCCGATCAGTATCGAGGCATAGGTATCTCGACTAGCAATCCTTACCAGACAAGTTCTCTTTTAATTCCGCTCCATGAACAGTAATATCCCAGTCTATATCTATGTGTCTGTAGTGGTCCCAAATCTTTGCGTTTTCTTGGACAGTGTACCGGGTCGGATGGGCGTTGCAAAATTGCAACTCCCGTCCAATGAAAGTACCAACGGGAGGTCTCTGATGACCCAGGGCCCACGGAGAGTCGTGTCATCCAAGCCCAATATTCATCACAATCGGCGCCGGATGCTCGGCTACATATTAGCGTGGCAGAAATCAAAGAATACACAGCACTACCAGTATAGCTACGGTCGGGTGCAAAAAGTAACAATGGACTTAACTTTATTCTGAAAGAGGCTTTTGTGTACGCTTCTGCCGATTAAACTGTCTTTCAAGTTCCCCTAATGGTCAACGGTATGGAACTAGGGGACTATCGTCATGACGAGAGGGACGGTTCTTTATGCTTCAAACCCGGTTGACCTCCGAATACATATTTGATGACAAAATCCTGCGAGCTATAAGATGCAGGAGAGCTGCAGTAGACGAACTGACATCACCTTAAAGCCCTCGCCCTCATACGACAGTCATTTGACCCACACCTCCCCACATCATCACGAACTGTAACAAGATGGGTGCCCAAGCCAACATTGACATTTCCAGGGCGGAGGTGCCAACGTCGAAGTGGTCCTCAATATCCAAAGTAGTGGATCCCACCCACGATAAGCTCTCCGGTGAGGGTTCAGTCGATTATATCACCCGTCTTCGGCACCTTCTTCACGAAATCGGCCACCGTTACGAGCCACCACCACCTCAGGATGAAGAATTCGATAATATCTTCCACGAGTGGATGCTGACCGTCGTCCGGCCAGTCTTGGGCTGGAACGACGAGAAGCTGGCTGCTCTGGAGGATCAGGGTTCTCGAGTTGTCATTCGCGCCTATCCTCATGCAGACAGGGAGATGAAGCTCATCATCAGCAAATTGACAGCTCTAGCCATAGTCATCGACGACTCTCTTGAGGACGAGCAGATGTACGAGCAGATAACGATGTTCTCCCACAACCTCTACGTGGGGCAGCCCCAGCCGGCCAATACCATCCTTCCTCTTTACGAGGAGTGCATCCGCGAACTGTCAGCGATCTATGGCGTCGACCCTGTTTTGAGAGGCTTGGGTGTCCCGCCTTGGATCGCGTTCGTGGACGCCTCATCGCTGGAAAAAAGGATATCGACGGTGGACGAGGCATTGCGTGCTAGCCCGTGGGACACAGGGTATCAACGTCTATCCGAGTGTCAGCGCCAGCGCGGTGATACCACCAATGAACTAAGTTCTATGAAGCTAGATCGACAGGCGGTCAAGTTGTAAGGACAAGCTGGGTATTTTTCGAGCAGACACTGACATGTAAACTCTGTTCTAGCCCATATTTCCTTCGGCAAAAAACTGCGATTGGCGAAGCATATGCTGCCGCAATTTTCAAAGCATACAGAACGCAGGAATTGCCTCTGACACGATACATCAAAGCAATTCCTGATGCCAACTTCACCATTGTACGTGGCTCGCATGGAGATCGAGACAGTTCGTTGATCTTAGCTTGATAGGAAATCATGAACGATTTACTTTCATTCCACAAGGAGGAATTGGAGGGCGAAAAGATCAACTTGATCCAGCTCTTGACGCAAAGTATACGCTCAGATCGGTCTACCACTGGCGGCAGCGAGTGGGACTCGAACGACACATTCAACCTGCTGTGCAATCAGGTTAGGGATGCGTTCGAGAGAGTAGACAGCTTGCTCCGCTTGCACGAGTTCGACACAGACGCCTCCAAAGAGTTCATTGCTGGTGATGATGCGGATAGAGCAATGGATTACGAGATTGCCAGACAGTGGAGAGGCTGGAGGGATGGTTATATTTCTTGGCATCTCGAGTCAAGTAGGTATAAGTTGGACTTCTTGAGACCAACAAAGTTCCATGAACAGTAGACAGCGTACCCACGGTGTAGTTCCTGATTGCCCCTTCCCAGCTGACCTCAACCGTCTCGATAAGAGGGTCGCATTTGATTGGTGCGCGACTTTTCCACCCATTAGACTACTTTGTATTCTTGTATTTATGCACCCCCAATAAAATCTCATTAGGCTGAGCTTCGCGAGACACGGTTACCAGCACCGTCCGAGACGTTCAAGTTCCAGAGTCCAGACGAAGAATGGGGCAAGTCGGAAGTACTGCATTGGCCCTGCGATTGTCGTAAGGTTTCGATAGACAACGATAAATAAAAGATACTGCTAGTAGTAAAGCCCGGAGACACCCCAGTTCGCCATGCATTGACTTAGCAGAGATCGTAAAGTGCAAACGCGCCTAAACGCGCTTCTCCTGGCGCCGGTAATGTCCGAAGCTTTGTCTGCAGACGGATGGATCAGTATGTATGAGTTCTTCAACTCGAATCCCTGGGATATGGATGCAAATACAAAGTCCTGGTGGTGTCCTACTGTGCAGCACCGTGGGAGTTGTATGTGTGGCATGCGGTAGACTTGTTGTGGCTGGGATGGTATTGGATATTGTGATAGCACTCTCAGGCCGGATAGCCTAGTAGTTAAGGCATCTCTACCGAAGATGTGAGGACCCGGATTCGAATCCGGTCTCACCTTGATTTTGGGGTTTTAACACAAGGCACGCCACAAACTTAATAAAGTTACCGGGAGTAAGCGCTGGGTGACACAGCTCCGTTCACCAGACTCTACATCTTTCACATAACCTCTCGACCAACGATGATTGGATGGCAGCAATTCGATGCAATTGAGGTGCGTCTCTGGCAAGAACGATACTCAGTATTACTTGAAAATAACGAGTCACTACTATAATTCCTTTCAGAGATCTGCCACAGATGAGCTCTACGCTACAGAAAAAACGTTTGAAATGACAGAGACTTCCGCCTTTTTTGCGCGCCGCTGACGTCGCAATGCGACCGTCCTCGGTAGAAGTGGACAATACAGATTTCTACCTCGGTACATCGAGTACTGGGCCCGTGGTGCTCAGAAGATGGAGGCCAAAACATTCAGAGGCCTATGTGCAAGGGTTCAAAAAGGTAACTTACTTGGACCCTTGTGATGGTCGTGGGGCACTGAATTGCTTCCGGACACTACTCCATGTGGCCCTAGGATGGGCATCTTTGGACCATCCTAAGTTACTATGTTAGGATTCCTAACATAGTCCCGCTGCATGGTCTACACGGACGCACGGGATCCCCACTTGCCATTATAATCCCAGCGTATTCCCAGGGAAATGCCGCAGTAAATTTCATGACAAGCTTTGGAGCTATCCTTCGAATAGTGCGTTCTTGTACTCGTCTCTAAACCACTCTGATTATGCCTGCCACAGTTGTGTGGCGTAGCCAAGGCACTGGCATATATGTATACCCGGTCTATCGCCCACGGGAGTATCAGAGGAGTCGGTGCTATACCTTCTGTCTTCACCAGTACTAGCTGACGAGGAACCCAGTCCAACGTCTACATTGCTGACAATGGCCAGGCCGTCCTCTCGAATCGCTTAAGTGGCCTGGATCGATAGTTCGAAGAATCAAGCGCGCTTTGGAGGTGCGACCACACAAAGAAGACGTTACCCTCGCCGCAGACGTGTACACCTTTGGCATGACAATGCTAGAGGTAAGCCATACCACAAGTCGTGATAACGTATCATTCCTGACGGAGGTGCATGCGCTGAACCATTCCAGGGATCCCGGACAGGCAGCTTCCGCGGCGTTTATCTCATGGCGAGCGAGCTTCGAAGCCTACTAGCTGTCAGCTAATTACAGATAAGATGTGGCATCTGCTGGGAGCTTTCTGGCACCAAGACCCGGTACGTAGGCCGTCTATGGTTGAGGTACGTCGACAACTTGAGGAGATTAGGAAAGATCTCGAGAGCAGAACAACCACACCTGGGAGGAGTCTGCGATAGTCAGGTACAGAGTCGAAGTCCTGGTATCTAGGTCACTATACTGTATCTGATAGACTCTTCAAAGAGTACAGTGGAGATGGCACGATCTGACTAGTAAACCACACGCACAATATACATTGATAGCGTACCGAGGATGTGGCTGCGAAGAGCTGGCACGATCAGCAGAACAACGCCGGCACTTAGCTAGCTGATTCGCCTTTCTCCTTATTCTTCTTCTTTTTCTTCTTCTTCCGCTCAGAGCCATCGCCTTCCCCAGAGGGCACAGCTCCCTTGTCCCCTGTGTCCAGCGCTCGCTTTCTGCTGTTTCCGCTTCCAGCACTCCCTGCTGCGGGCTGATTTGTGGCAGGTACAGACTCTGAACTTGGTGTGACCTCCGTTGCTGGCAAAGTGTCGGAGACCGCAGGGACGATTGGGGTGTCTGCTTGGATTGGAGGGACTGCCGCTGGTTGCACCGCTTGCTGAGGTATGACAATCTTTGGTTCTGAGAGGATAGCCCGGTACGTCCGGCGTGTTTCTACAGTAGCCGCGAATGTTACAAAATTCGTGAAAGCGGACATGACATGGACTGTACGTACGCGCTTTCACAACTAAAGATTTCGGGATCGTCGTCGCAGCATGGTGGGCAACATCTTGCGGGAGTCCGAGTAGCGTGGTCCTAAACGCAACGATAACAACGTGTGTCAAGAGCGTTGTGTGTCAGTGCGAATCCCACTCACAAATTTGCAACGTCTCGTGGGGCACGCAGATCCCACTCAGCATTGATACCGCCACTCACAAGCACGCCCTTCCCCTTCGTAACCCTCACCAGCTCCCTCGCCCCTGCCCACCAATTTCTCTTGCCCGCCTCGCCACCATCTTCCGCACCGAGTGCACCAGCATAATTTATTTCGAATACGGCTCCGTTCTTGATAGCTGTTCTGACGATCGTGTGTTTGAGATGGAATGGGAGACGCGGGAGTGAAAGTGGAAGGGAGATTATGTGTGTGGTGAGAGGTGACGGCAAGGTATGAGTCAGACAAGCTACTGAGAAGCTTCCGGAAGTGGTGGGTGTTAGTGCGAGGATATCGTATGGTGCGACGAGTGGTTGGTGGTTGTTGGTCTACGAGAGATCAGCAGACCGTAGGACACATTCAAGACGGCGACTCACTAGGCCGAATCCCTTTTCGCTCTCATCATCTAAGATTATAGTCAAACGCTTCAGGTACACAACGTCGGTCCGTTTTCGAAGCTGCAAAAGCAGTGGATCTAGGATATTGATGTGTGTTTTGGGGTCGATTTTCTTTTGCACGGTCTGATTGAATGCAATGACAGAGTATCCTACTATACAATTCAAGTTAACCTGCAATCTTGGAAACCAATCTGGTCATGAAAATACTGACAATGTACTAAGAGGTCGATTCTGTGTTCTATTGCAGCAATCTGTGTAGCTGGGTAGGACACTGCGACGGGTACCATGGGTAGTTTGCCCTTTCCTTTGTTTAATTGGTTTTGACGGTTAAAAGGAGGACCCGGAATTGGGACATTCAGGTCGAAGAACATTTTGGACTTGGTTGCATCCAACAGTGATACAGTAGGGCTGAAGAGGAGACTCAGGTCAACCGCGCGCGAGATGTCGAAAGACAGAACGCGATAGCGGCGTACGAGGGCGTACGTCTCTTGGACTGCCGCCGCGATCTCTGGTCCTGCTTCATGACATTTGTCCTCAACTTCATTGCTCTCTAACGAGATCCTTTTTATACTCGGATCATGGACCACAGAACTGCGAATCCCGAAGAATACCGTGTCCGGGATGGCTATTTCATCATTTCGATACCGCTTTTGTTGTCCTGCGTTTTAATGGCTCGTCTTCTAACTGGCTGGCAGAACAATACTGTGATGTGTTGACATCTACGAGCGTATCGTAGTGACGCAATCATCCCAGTATTTTTTTTTTGGCAGACCAGCACCGACTCGGGTGCTATCGCCGCCAGCTATCAACGATCCAAGCATGGACTCCCTTGCAGCTACACACATTCTATTTATCCGGACACTGGTGATCTTTCCGGGCAACTGCTTCAGTTGCGCGACCCCGCTGATGATCTGCTCATCGCTTTCTGGTATACGAGGGGCTCTGGGCCCCAATGATGTATCATTATATGCCGGTCGTCAACTGCAAGTCTCCCCACGCAGCTTTCACTGACTTGATAAACTCCTGTCTACGCTTGTCACATCCTGATGCTGACTTTCGCATTCCAAGTATATGTCTCGTCTGTAAAGGCCTACTATCAAAATCCCATCAGGTCGTGTAAAAGTCGTGCGACCAATATTTCTTTGTGCCTCCCACCTGTCCAGCTTATGAACGGAGAAACTCTAATGATATCTCGCCCCATGTGGGCTTTGTGGCACTGCATCCGTTCGGGACAGCCTTTTGTGTCGAGGCGGTAACTGCGCTTACAAAAATGACCACCCAGTTGTTCAACAGCCAATTGGCAATGTTGGTCCTGCTTCTTTTCCTACGGAGGCCAATTTTGGTTTATTACACTTCTCAACTATCTTGGTCTTCCTGGCCTTGGCCTGAATTCTTGTGGTCTAAACTCTACATTCTTTCGGCTACTAGACAACGAACTCACCCGACCTCTGCAAGTCGGTCACATCACGGTTCCTGCTGCTCTATACGTTGAGAAATGAGTTTCTCGATCTGAGCTGATCTCAAGGGGCTGCTTTATGTGCGGACCATGCTGCATCCGTCGGGACGTGCGAATATCTTCCACGACCATTGCTATAAGCATGGTGAGTCTAAGAATACGTCTCGAATTCTGGTTTTGCTTATAACGCTGCCGTATAACAGTCTCTCCCTTCGAGCACACCTTGCCCCCACCATGTTGTTCTTGCGTCTTGTATCCTTAGTCCTTTTGTCGGGGTCTGGCGTCGTCCTTGCTGAACCACGCATCTCTCCAAGTGTCATCCACGAGAAACGCACCTACACGCCGGCAGGATGGTCACGCGCCCGCCGTCATGAAGCTTCTGCAATCCTTCCTCTTCGTATTGGTCTTGTGCAGAGCAACATGGACAAGCTGGAGGAGCTCTTACTTGATGTCTCATGGCCAGAGTCCCCTAACTATGGCAAGCACTGGTCGGTTGGAAAGGTGGTGGAGACTTTTTCTCCTAGCCGCGAGACCGTTGATACTGTTCGAGGTTGGCTTGGCGATTCTGGCATTGAGCCTTCTCGTATCAAACTCTCTGGAGCCAAGACGTGGATTGAGATCAATGTAACCGTTGAAGAAGCTGAGCGCCTCCTTGGGACTGAATACCACGTTTATTCGCACTCGTCTGGGAAGGAGCACGTTGGTAAGATCTCGGTATCATCTGTTGCCTGATATCGTCGTCTGACTCTCCATTTTCACCGCACAGCCTGTGATTCTTATGAGCTGCCTGAACATGTCAGCAAGCATGTGGACATCGTTCTGCCTTCGATCCATTTTGACGCTGTGGTCAAGCGGGATGGTGGCAGCAGCCATACCCTGAGTAACATTGGTCAGCCCGGTGTTGGTCTTGTTCCCAAGACTACAGGGACAATCAGTAGTATCCTCACTGAGCTGGAGACTTGTGACGAGCAGATTACTTTAGCTTGCTTGAGAGCCCTCTACGAAGTTGTTTACGTGCCCGTTGCTACTAGCAAGAACAGTTTCGGGATTGGTAAGCACGGACGTGCGG